TCTTTCCCTCTTAGAGATCTCCTGAGCTATATGTGTTTATCTGGGCTGTGTTTATCTGTATGTGTTTATCAGCAATGCTACATCAATCTCTCTTCCAGAACCTTTCTCCTTGACCCTGAGAAAATTTTAGCATCCACAACACCCTTTATGAAGGAGTTTCGCAGGGCAGCTACTCCTGGTGTGAAGACCCACATTCCCTTGTTTTGAACTGTGCCCCAAAGGGTTCACATGATGCCCTCTCATTCTTGTGCTAAGAGTGAGATTCTCAGTCAATCCCCACCACAACCTCTGCCGTATCCTCCTCGGGCCCCTCTTTTCCATATTGAAACCTGACAAATCTCAGGCCTTGGTTTGCTTCCTTGAGGAGTGCGGTGCACTCAGATGATGTTTCAGTCCTATATCCCCTCCTCTGCTTCCCAACACACCCTTTGAACTTTCTTTTGGAGTTTCTGAAGGTGGATATCAAGGACAGAGGACTCTTACTGGCACAGGAAGGATGAGATCGGAGTTGCCGGCCAGGTCAGCAATGTGCCGGTACAGGGGGACATCCTTCTCTGCAGCTCCCGCCTTGCACACGGCCAGCGAAACTCCCAGGATAGCATTGGCACCAAACTTGGCTGTGGGCAAAACCAAAGAGGAGTTAGGCTTCACAGGCAGCAACCTCCTGCCCAGCGGGTGCCCTTGCCAGCCCAGCCTTGGGCCCACCACAGCTCTGACAGTGCCCCCTGCTCCAGCCCTGCAGCCTCCCAAGCTCTTGACTTCCCAGGCCAAATAAAATGAATGAATTACATTTGTTCTCTGTGCCATCCATCTCAAGCATCAGATTGTCTATCTTCTCTTGATCCACAACAGAGAGGCCCTGCAAGAAAGAAACAGCTCCTGAGAAGGGGAGGCTGAGAAGAGCTGTTGGCTCTAGTATGCGAGAAAGGAGACGTTGATGGAGAAGCTGGGGGTACAGGGACCTTTTTAGCTTGTGGGGGAACATATACACACAAAGCTCTGGAAATTAGTGCCGAGGTTAGGTAACCACGATGATGTTGCTGCGGTGCAGTGTAGATGTACCCACGCTGGAGAGAGGCTCAGCAGCAGCCCAGGCAAGGCCATGCACTGCTGGGGACACAGGACTCCCTTGGGGATTTACCCTGTCTTTTGGCAGCTTCCAGAGAGCTTTGTGGTGCTGTGGCCCCACAGAAGCTAGGCAGAACAACAGTACATGCTCAACCCCAAGCAAGCGAATGTAGACTGGATGGAGCCATCCCCGGGAGCAAAGTGGAGAGCAGGATTAGGCCCAACACAGTCAGCCCTCCATCGGGCCAGGTATTTTTCAGGGCTGGAGAGAACTGGGTTCTCAGCCAGACCCCCCCACAGGCTGCACAGGGTGTAATGTGTGGCTTCAGCTCAGCTCTCCTCAGAGCAGGCTCCAGGTCTTCAGGTGTAAACAGGTTGCAGATGTGACACCACCGCTCCGCAAGGCTGTGCTGGGGGGCTGCCAGACCTTGCACGGTATGGTCATTGCTCATCACACAATGAATCCTGGGTGGGACAAATGGGTGTGCGGCCACAGACATGTGGATGAGGTTCAGTGCTTGAGGAGGAGCACATATGAAAGAGGGAGAGCGCTCTACAGGGAGTGTCGAGGGGACTCGTTAGTTGGTACAGATGCTGCAGTGGACCAGGCAGTGTTAAATCCTTTCTGCCCAGAGAAAAGATCGCTGTGGACACGTACAGGCATGGAGGGCAGGAGGGGAGTGACCAGGTTCACAGAGAGCATCACTATGTCTGTTAACCCAGTTAGATGAAGAGAGGCAGAAACAGAGACTGGGGGACAGAGACGGACCAGAGTAAGCATTGGACAAGGGAGAACAAAGAGAAATCCTTACAGAGCCCACGAGAGCTGGGGCGACAGTGCTGTTGATATGATCCACGGCCTGCAGGACCCCTAAAGAAGGGAAGAGACAGAGAGAGAGAGAGAGAGAGAGAGAGAGAGGGTGAGGCAAAGAGGAGAGCGGAAAGAGGGAGGGAGAGGACTGATAGAGAGACAGAGAGGGAGACAGCGAGGGAAGATCGAGGCCTGATCTTTCACTTTACACTAGGTCTGTGCCTCTGTGGTCTCCCTGAGGGCAGTGGGACACATCCCCATCACACCAGCGGGCGAGCGGTACCCTCCGGCGGAGTCCCACGCACAGGCAGCCCCGGGAACGGGGTGTGGAGCAGGCATCTCCCCACCTTTTCCGAGGAAACGCGACTTGTCGTTGTCTCGAAGCTCCAGCGCTTCGTAGATACCAGTGGACGCGCCGCTGGGGACTGCTGCTCGAAACATGCCTGGGAAACAGCAACACACGGGTGTGAGACGAGCAGAGGGTGGAAGGAGGGAAAATCCACATGCACCTGCTTCTGTCCTGCTTTCATGGGAAAGGACATGGCAACTGCTTGTGCAAATGGATGGCCCCGCTGGCTGGCTATTCATGGCTGGTCTTCTCAGAGGTGGAGCACCTTTTGGAGGTGGAGCACCAGAGTAGCAGGAATAAATGCACCCAGGGCTTCCAGACTGAGAAACCTGGAACTCAGGCACCCAGAGGTCCACACTGATCCCAGAACCATGGATGACAGGTGGAAGTCTGGCTCCTCAGCCTTCCTCCTGGTTCCAGAGGCAGCCTGACCCACAGCCGCCAGCGGCTTCCTCCCCCTCAGACTGGGGATGGGTTTCTGCCTCAGTGAAGAAGGAAGAGACTGATCGGATGACTGCTCTGGCCCCTCACTGCTCCTCACCCCTCAGCCCACCTAGATTTGGGCTCAGCGCAGATGCAGCTCTTCCAGTTGAAACACATGTGCATGTACACGCCTGCACAGAGATCTCATGGACAAACTTTCCCCCACCTCATGAGCATGGCCACGGATATGTTTCCAAACTTCTCCTGTGTCCCAGGACTAAAAGCACAGCTGCAGCAGGGCATCACAGGGATACAACAAGAAGGTTAATGAATATTATATATATTATAT